CCTGCTGGGCAGAAGGAGAAAATCATTCTGCGCAAGAGTGGTGCGGCCGTGGTGTGGCTCTGGGACAGGGTAACACCTCCATCCTCGGGGACTTTCCAAGCCCAACTAGTCAAGGCTCTGAGCTACTTGCTGTAGCTTTGCCACCAGCCCTGCATGGAGCCGGGGTTGGACCGCAGACCTCCCGAGCCCCTTCCAACCTAAAATTTACCAGATGAGCCAACCAGAGGTGGCGATTTTAAGATGACTGCTCAATGCTGCTGCTTACCTCACTTGAGAGATGGCCAACACCAATCCATCACCCACAGCTTGGTTCTTCCATCCAGCCGCTGCCCCTCTTACCAGAGCTGCCTTGCATCCTCTGCTGACTTCAGAAGTTCTGGTACCACGGAGAAACTGGAGGAGCCGAGCATCGGAGAAAATAAATCACTGTGGAAAAAATGTGTAGGTTTAATGGTAGGCTCTGAGGAGAAGTTTGCATGCAAAATGATGGGTCTGCGATAGTCAGGCAGCTCCGGGATGGGATTGCTTATAATAACAGTCGGAGGGTTGTACGTTCTGGGTTACAGTCTGACAGGCAGCTCCTTTGGTTATGCTTTACTCTCTCCTGGAGAAGCAGAGGTTTGGGCACATGTGTTCGTGGTTTGGCCCGGTCCTCGTGTTTTTCCACTGAAGCACTTTAGTATTTTTAGGCTGAGACGGCTCTGTGCTACACTGGAAGGATCGGAGCGGTCCTGTGCAGGCAGGGCACTGCCTGCTCTCTCTCCCTGTAAAGTGAAATACAGAGATTAGAGTATGGGAATAAACACTGATAAAACCCTGTGGGGAAGGGTATAGTAGGAGCCACCATCCCTGCTCACAGCGTGGCTGGGGTCAAGGTCAAGGGTGGGAAGAGGGGGGGGGGACGGTAGATGCCACGTTGGATACAAGCCAAACATCGATTCGTGAATCAAGTAAACCACGTTTAGTCTCCTTTAGGAGAAGCGGAGCCGGCAGACACCGATGCGGGGAGGTTCCTGTGATCCAGATCACCCTGACACAGACCTATCTGAACCATGTTTTTGGCAAAGAGAGAGGAAGCACGGACACGGGAAGATGCGGGCTCCCTGCACCCTGCCGCTGTGCCGGCAGCCGCGACACCGGGCAGCTGCACGCTGCTCCCTGCGCCATGGCCTGATGACGGCTGCAGGCAAGCTTCTGTTCGGAAAGAATGTCACATTTTCCGCAAACATTATCGAAACTAGGAAATGTGCAGAGGTTCCCTCCCAGAGAGCAGAGAGACCAGACCGCGACACCTGCTCCAACTCCGATTTATTGAACATTACAAAATACTCTGCATATATTTTCACATTAAAACAATATTCTTGCAAATAAGATGCTAAGTCTTGAGTCATTTGTGGTGCCCGTGGCTACAGAAAACACTGACCCAGCTAGAGATTTAGTATGGCCCAATATCAGAAATCAAAACCAGAATAAGGCATACCAGAAATGCAAAACTATATAAAAACCTTTTAAAAACCTCATGCTCATCTGGTGGGACAGGTACAGAGCAGAAGGGCTTTTGCTGAGCCTTGCTAACAGTACCAGGAGGCACCGCCAGCTCGCTTGGCCCGTGTTGGCCTCGCTCACCCAGTGCAGCTACGTGTCCCCTCGACGCCTGCTGTCTCAGGACGCCCACGTAGCTGGAGCAGGCAGTTATTTACCTGCTTTGGGGCATTCACAGCCCAAGGCCCCATTCTGCCCAAAAAGGAGCATCCCCAACCCTCCCGCGTTGCTGGTGCCCAGCGGTCGTGCTGAGATTTTGCATGCTGAGCAATTCTTGGGGAGCGATTCTTGGACTTTGGGGTCACGGGAGGAATAATTCACTGTGTGGGCCATTGCCCCCGGGTCCCACCACCCTCTCAGGAGGGACCAGGGGTGGCTGGGAGGCAGGTGGTGGGGGAGGACCTCTGACGATGCACTCAGCTCTCGCCCATCATCCCTGTTCCTGATGTACATTCATACCTGCTGCTCGCTGCGCTCCTTGCACCATGACCAGCCCTCCCAGCTGATGGGCCCCAGTCAACTGGAGGGACCGGGACGTGGGCAGGATGAATGCTGAGGATGCCGTGCAGGGTAGCTGCCTCCTAGCAAAGCCAGAAAGCTGAACACCACAGCTATTGGGAGCACATCCAGACAACAGGCGTGAGGCTGGTACAGCAGGTTGGGTGCTGGAAGAGTCCCTGTGCGTACAGGTTCACTAGTCCGGCTCCTGGTGGAGCCAAACCCCAGGAGCGCTGCTCCCAGTCCTGAGAAGGTCATGGCCTCGCCCCTGCGGTACCTCCATAACTCGGGGAACGCAGAGCTGCCGTGGCAAGGAGCCCATCTCCGGCCTCCTGGCTGAGCTCCATGCATGCCGTGAGGAACCGGCACTGATGCCACCTTGAAGTCAATGGCTCGGTCGCTGTGTGCGGATGGGTTCTCGTGCCCTCTCCCCAGAGGTCTCCTACCCACAGCCAGGCTGGAGATCAGCTCGTGCTCCCACACTTGCGAGCAGCCACGGCACGTTAGCCAGCACCCACACACTTCAGGGCGGCACAGCCACAACGGGATCGAGTCCGTCTGGGATCCCAGCCCCAGGAGGAACATCTCTGGCCTCCCAGTGCTGTGAAGATGTGCAGGGACCAGAGAGGAGGAAAGAGGTTTGGGGTCTGTGCCTCCCTGGGTGGACGGGGGTTGGTACCTGCTGCTGCATGAAGCCCAGTTATTGACCAATTTGGCATCAGTAGGTGCATGGGCAAAGCCCACCCTGGAGTGCAGCTCCAGGAGCAGTACTGGGCTCTCCTGCCTCTCCTGGAGTTTATGGAGACACACACAAGCTTTACAACGCAAGACAGCAGAGCGGTCAGCGGGTCGCAGCCCGTCCGCAGCCCCCAGCCCCTTCCCCGTCCTCAGTCCGCCTCAGAGGTGGCTCGCTCTGTTGAACATCAGCCACCTGGGCTCTGCAGCGGGCAGCATCCTGCCCTGCTCCTCCGTGGCCATCAAAGGCTGCAGCTCCTGCTGCTCAGCACCATCCGGGCTGCTGTCACTCTGCGACCTGCCGCTCTTAGAGACGTGGCTGGGAAACTGGAAGCAGGAGCTCTGCTCTGGCATCGCCTGGCTCGCAGACTGGGGTTGCTCCTCCAGCACAGGGCAGACGAATCTTCTGTGCTGAGGTCCGCTCTCGATGCCTGGGGGGGAAGCGATGCTCTCCAGGGAGGAGATGCTTTGGTTCCACGCCTTCTGCATATCCACCGGCACGATTTTGGTGGTCTCCGAGGAGACATAAACAGCCAGATCAGCCTGGTCTCCTTTCCACGGCAGCTCCTTCTCTGCCAGGGTGGGCGATGGTGGGATGATGCAGGGGCTGGGGCAGACATCCAGGCTGCCTGGGGATGCAGAGGGAGGGACAGTAAGAGGGATCTTGCACAGCTCTTTCTCTCTTCCTTGCCCCTGAAAACATTGCAGAACCAACCACAACCGAATGGCCAGCTGGCCCAGGGATGCGGGAGCCACCAGGGAGGCTCTGCCCTGCCTCCAGAGCCACAGAGAGCAGCGATTCTCCCACGCGTGCTCTGCCGACTTTGGTTTTGCCCAGGCAACTTTGCTCCCCAGGTGGAGGAAGGACAAGCTACCCAACGGCAGCTGCCCTGGCGTGGGAGCATCGGTGCCTACCAGGAGTTGTCTTTCCCTGCAGGACCTCATCGGTGGCTCGAGCGACGAATACAATCCCTTCATCGTCCTCTCTCTCTGTCTCCGAGCTATCGCTCTCCTCCTCCTCTGAGCTGACCATCACCAGGACAGGAGCTGCAGCCAGATGGAGGGAGTTGGTTTGGAGGATGGGGCACCCTGCGGGGGAAGGACTACACCCGTGGGGGAAGGACTTGGTGCTAGCGCAAACCTGGGTGCTGTCGTGCCACCGAGCCGGCCGCGGGCAGGCACAGCGGGCTGCTCCCATCCCACCCCAAGAGTTCCCCTTGCCAGGACCTGCAAACCTCACCTGCCACCAGCCTTACCTGCCTCCTGCCAGGGGACGTGTCTGTGCGTCTTCCCATTGGGTGCCTCGCTGGGCAGAGAGATGTTCTTCTGCAAAGGAAGAGGGACGGGCTGGGACCTGCCCTGTGCAAACCCCTGATCCCGACCCAGGCGGCCCTGCAAGCCAGGGTAACCCCAGGGACAGAGATTCCCACCCCGGCTAGATGGCAGCTGGCAGTCAGTGGTTCCTAGTCCTTGGGCGTTGCATCTTCATGGCCCTACAACCGACAGCTCAGCTGCAATGGCTTCAAGAGCCTCCAAACGAGAGGGGACACCTAAGGCTCAGTTTAAGGCACAGTGCCACAGTTCTGAGCCTGGATCTGCACTGACGTTCAGGCTACTTTATGCTGAGTGCTCTTGGAAAACAAACGTGTGGCTCCTCCAGGGCTCGGGACCGCTTTGCCCAGGGAAGAGCCACCCCGTAGCAGTGCTGGCATGGTTGGGACACACGGACACGTGAGACCCGCGTGCTCACACGCAGCACACACAGGACTGAGATGAGATGAGCCGCTTTCCCTGCTGGCTCTGGAGCTGCCCATGTCCTGCAGCACCTCACCTACACCCCAAAGGACCTCGCTGTCTGCAGCCCGGGGGAGGCCAAATCTCAGAGCTAGTAATGGAGCAGGAGGTTGGGGAGCGCTTGCCTTTTTCCTGCCCTTTTCCTTCAGCCTGGCCTTGCTCTTGGAGGAGCAGACATTGTGCTTTGTGGACTTGAAGGTCTCCAGCCGCCTCTTCATGTTCTGCCGGAAGATTTCTTTATCTTGGCGCTCTTGTTTATCTGGAGAGATGAAGTGACGGCTGTAGCTGGCCTTGTACTGGCCGAGGGAGAGGCAAAGAGACACAGGGTGAGCAGCTGGCCCCAACGGAGCATCCTCCATCCCTGCTCCTCTTGCGGGTGCTGCTACCCTCGGGGTGAGCCGCAC